CTAACTCCCCCGAAAATCAGAGAGGAGGAGGGTGGGGTCTGGCAGACAAAGGCACTGCCTCAGAGGAGAAGGTCCCTGCTTTTCTGTCTCTATCAAGTCTCTGAGGAGCTTTCAGAATGTTGCTTTTGATCATGGATTTCCTGCACTCCTGATTCACCCAGGAGATACAAGAGTGGGAGGACTGTGGGATCTGCACCTTAAATCAATGCCAGGTCCTGTATAAAGGATCAAGCCTCAGTCTGCAGTGAACAGACAAATGCAGTCCACCTAGTGTTACCAACCTCCTTTGAGTGGAAAAACATATACTGGAAACTATCGTCTTAACTGTCGACTCCAGAAGCTTGGTCAGTGTCTTGTGTGCAGGTACGTTCTCTCATTCTGAATTTTTAGGAAGATTACCAAAAAACCACTGATTTTGGGCCCCTATGTTTGTTCCCCAGGGAGGCATCAAGCTTGGGCGGGAAAGAGAGCAAAAGGCTTATCAGCTTTTATTGCTACAAGGATCCGCTTAATTAAAGTGTGGGAGAGATGAACGGCTTCTCCCTGACTGCATCACTTCTCTGCTCACTGACAGAGCAGCTGGAAACACAGCTATTACCTGGACCAGATTCCACCAGAGAGTCCTTCTGCCACTGCTCCAGGGAAGGGCCAGGTGCCCCTTCTGCCTTGGCTTTCTCCTCCTTAGCCCTCTCCTTGCATTTCTTTTTCAGCTTCTTCTCTTTTTTTTTCTTCCTCTTCTTGTCCTTCTGCTTCATTCGCTTCTTCTTGCTATGCCGCCTCTTTTTTGATTTGGGTTCGCTGTCGCTTGACTCGTCTGAAGAGGAGCTGGAGGAAGAGGTCCCAGAGGATGAAGATGCTGTCTCGGAGGAGGAGGTATTCGCCGCCCATTTTTTTTTATCCTTGTCCCTCTTCTTTCTTTCTGCAACACAGCGAGAAGGGGGTTGTAGAGAGCTCCCACCAAACCTGCTGGGCAGACTGTCGTGCGCTCATTCCGTGCTACCCTGCTGTGCAGTTTGGGGTTTGCTCCTCTTTAGAAGCCTGAACAGCAAAGCCACTGCAAAATCCCATGGTGCTAATGCTTTAATGAGATTACGCCAAGGTGGAGGGCAATAGGGAGAGCACAAAGATGACAGATCAGCACACCTAGTATCTTTGGGCTCTAGAGATCAGAAGATGACAGCAATGGGTGTGGAGCATGGGCCAAGGTGACTGTGGGAAGGCGCCTGTTACTAACCGAGCTACAAGGAAGTGGTGAGCGTCCCTACCTCAGCCCTCATTGTGCATCTGCCCCAGGGCTGCTCAGAGCCAGGTGAAAAGCCAGCATTCAATGGTAGCCATTGCACCCACCTGCTCTTACCTTCCTTAGTGGAAGCAGAGCTGGATCTGCGGCGGTGAGACCCAGAGGCCCTTTTCCTCATGGGGGAGGGGCTGCTTCTGCGGGAATCCTTGCTGCTCTTTCGTCCCTTCTTTTCCTTCTTCCTCTCCTGCCGGCTTCGCGAGTCACTCCGGCTCCGGGACCGTTTCCTGGACTGGCTGTGAGCCATTGCGCCGGGAGTCCTGCTTTAACGCATTTATTTTGCTGTTGCTAGTGGTGTTAATACAGGACAGCAAAACCACACTGATTAGGTCCCCTGACAGCTGGGGAGACTCTCCAGCGGCATCCCCAACCCAGCAGCTCTGCCCACTCTAGCTGGAACTACACGACCCATGCTGCTTAAACCCCCAGTTTGTACTCATCTCAAAATAACTGTCAAGGATAAGTTCACTGAAGTACATCAGACTTGCCCTACGCCCGTCACTTCTTTTGCCCTGCAGTTTTAGGGACTGTTTATCTGGATGTGTTAGACCAGTGGCTAAAATCAGGGTTCGCTAAGCAAGCCCTTCCCAGGAGGTCTGTAAAATAGATCTAATAGCGCAGCACTGAGAGCTAGGAGCAGATGTGAATCTAGCGGAGGACCTTACCACTATCTCTCCACTACGCCGTTCATGAGACAACTCTCCTTTGCTGTCCAAACGGCCCTCACTGCTTTGGGTTGGCAGAAGATGTCCTCATCCGCCTCTGTGCCCTTCTCCTGTTAGCTGTCAGAAGTCGTTCCTGTGAGAGAGAGCAGCAGCATTAGAATTACCACTGCAGAATCCATCATTTCTTTTCATCCTTACTCGCACGATGCAAGGGTTTGAGGTTCTGTTCCTGAACCTGTGTCCTCATCTAACCCTCTGCACCGTGTGAAGGACTGATGCACGCACGTTCCTTAGCAGTGACTGGACCTCACCGCGCGATTGAAATTGTCACTAACAACCATCAGCAAGGAGCATTTCCATTTGGAGCTGAATGGAGAAGAGCCAATTACCTCATGATTTAAAATGCTGATTAGAGCCACCAGCCAAGGACAGCTTTTTAATGCCCCAGCTTGCTTCCCTGAAGCAAACTGGCACCTTGTTCCTTCAGCTCAACACCCCGGCAATGGGCCGCAGGGCCCAAGCAATCTGTGATTAGGTACAAGCTCATTGAGTCATAGTTTTTAACGAGATGGCAGCATCAGTGTAATTGGTACAGGGAAGCGTTTTCTCTTTGCCAACAGTTCCCAGCTATTCCATTAATTAGCTGCCTCTCTTCCATCTACAAGCACAAAAGTCCAAGAGTTCATTGCAAATGAATCAGAAGTTCAGACCGATTTCCAAAGGAAAGTTTCCGTGTGGCGCGGTGCCGGAAGTCCTGCGTGGAGAAGTTCAGCTCCGTTCCGTAACGGGCAACGGCACGCAGCAATTCTGCACACGCATGAGATGCAGAGGCCTTTTCCCTGGGTCCCAACGCAAGCTCCGCTCCTGCAATCTCGGCTATGCAGCCGTGTCACCACAGCCAGATCCTGCAGCCGGTTTGACAAGGGTTGCAGGAATAAAGCCCGCGTGTCCCGCTGCTTGCTGCAGCCTCTCTCCGTTATCGATATCTATCTGCGACATTGGGCAGGGCAGTGGCTCACGGGGTGGAGTAGCCCAGTCCAGAAGGCATCGCGGCCACCGCGCGATGCAGGAGACAGGGCAAGCGGGACCTGGCGAACGACCCTGTCTGCAGCGGCACCAATGGTTACCAAATCCCAGGGGAGCTTAGGCCTCTCGCAGGCAACCAGTGTGCGAGGTGTCCCAGCCTTCCAGACCAACTCCCTGTCTCCGAGAAAAGCCCGTCGGCATCCCCCAGGCAAGAGGCGAAGCGATGCCGTCCCTTGGGCGGTGAAACGGGCTCTTCCAGGAGAGCGTCGGGACGGTCCGGGAGACGCGTGCAAGGCCAGGACAGGCTGATGTCTGGCACAGACACACCGGGTGCCTTCCCCCGGCCGAGCGCTGGGTCCGGTCCAAACCCTCCTGGACATCCTGGCTTGCCTGGTGGCTGCTGCCTTATCTCACTGCCTGGAAATCCAGATCCGGGAGCAGGACCCAGCTGCGCTCCCTGCCTGCACCACTGGGGAGAGGACTCCCTTGGCACGCGGCCCCTTTAAGACCACCCCCCCGGGGCTCTTTAAATCCCTCCTTCTGCCCTGCCCTCCCCTCACCAGGCGAGGCCCGCCCAGCCGCATTGCGCATGCGCACTGGCATCCCGCCCCTTTCTAGCCCCCCCGGAGACCCTCCGCCGCCGCCCCCCGCACGGCCCGGCGGGGCCGCAGGTAAGGGGCTCACCCGAGCGAGGCCGGAATCCCCCGCCCCGTACCCGGGGCCAAGCGCCGCGCCGGGCTGCGCCCCGCCACTGGTCCAGGGCTCTCCCGACCCACTTCCGGTCCGGGGTGTGGCGTTAGGAATGGTTCGGCCGGAAGCGCGGGCCCGGGCACATTGGTTCCGACCCCTTTATGGGCCCCCGGTGGAGCCAGGCCGGGGCTGCCACGTGCCCCGGGAACTGCCAGGGGGAAGGGCCTGGGGTCAGAGGTGGGGGCTTGCCCTGCCCCTGCCTCCTCCCACGTCTCCAGACCCTACAACCCCGCCTGGGCCTGCCTTGGCTCTGGCGTGGGGCATGGAGCCTACCTGGCCATGGGGGTCACGGCAGTGAGAGGCTGACGCGGCCGCTTTCCCTACACGGAGTAGCAGATGGCGCCGGTTGGGTTCATGGCTCTGCTTCACCGGCGTCCTGGCATTGGGGCGAATCCCACTGAACGGGGCCAAGTACAACAGCCTCGTCCTCCGTCCCTGGCTCAAAGGTGTTTCCTTGCCGGCTGCGCCCCTCTGGGGTGCCAGTGGCAGGCTGCCCAGGTGCTGGTATCCTCACTGCCTCCCTCCAGGCGATGCCTCCTGCTCTGTTACCGCTGCCTCGGGGCCCTCACAGCCTGTTGGAAGGTTGTGTGTGGGGCCTGTCTCAGCCCAAAGATGTGATCATCGCCAAGGCTAACAGCTGGACCAAAGCTGGATTTCTGTTCCTCCTCCAGAGGACATGAGGGTGACTTGCAAGCACGGAGGAATTTAGCTCGAGACCTGCCAGTTCGAGAACACAGCTCGGTATTATCCCAGCTTTACAAAGCTGAGTTACAGGAGTTGTAGTGAAGGGCAAAGGGAGGAGCAGAACCCGCCTTAGCTGCCAGCCTGCAAGGAGGAGCAGGGGCCAGAGAGCTTATTCTCCCATACCCCTGGGCCCTGCCTTTTTAATTAGCTATTTGCAGTCTGAGTTTCGCATACCCAGGCAGCAGCAGACTGACTGGCAGTTTTCTCTTTCATTAACTTTTCTTGGGGTAATTCAAATGCAAATAAGAAGCATGAACATTTCCAGCTGAAGAAAATTAAGAGTCCGTGATTGGTTTTCTCAATACAGAAAACAGCGAGAAATAAGAATCCTTTCTGTTCCAAGTGTGAGGTTCAGTGTACAGACCTAATGGCGTTTTCCCTTTCCAAAATGCCAATTTAATGAGTTTTGCAAATGAAAAAGCTCATCAGTGCTGCACGCTAATGAGACAGCAAGCCCAAAATGCTTCAGATCTGCTGGGAAAGTTTAAAATTAACGCTTTTCACATAAACTATGACAGTGATGCTTCATCATCATTACTTATGCAAATGAGAGCGATCATACAGGGTACCATGGGAGCCAAAGTAAATGAAGCGAAGAAGCCCATAATAATGACAATGGCGTATTTGTGTATTTGGGACACAGTTCGTTTTCTGTGGAGTCAAGTGAGACAACTGAAGGCAAAGGGATCTGGCATCTTGAATATCAGCTTTTGGCGTATGTGATCTGCAGCTTGGAATTAATGTCCTGAACTGATGGGTCCAGAGCCAGCAGGGACATGCGATCATCTGTCTCTGCGCTATTTGCAGTGGGCCCCCAGTGCCAAATTCAGGAATTCAGACGGCTGCAGTGCCCAAGTCAGCAATACCACATTTGCTCTTCTCTTGGTGACATTTATAGCAGTGCTCAGCTCAGAGGGAGATCCCTATGCCCCATGGAAGGCGTCACTTCTGCCTGGGCTCGCCTTCTACTAGAGAGCTGTGAGCAGCACCCAACCCTTTCGCCTTTGCAGCTGGTTCCTGTTTGTTTGGAAACAGCAGTATCTCCGAAGGGGGCTGCTCAGTACTCTCTGGGGGGGATGTGAAGCAGCAATGAGTGAAACACTTGCACTTGTAGAGCAACACTGGGGTCTGTGTTTGGCTTTTAAGGCTCAGCCTTTTGGGGCAGCTTGAACAAGCCTGATGTACTCAGCGGAGGACGACTTGAGTGTACATACACACAGGTGGCTCTGAGATGTCAGTACTGGGTAACGGGGCTAACCATTGCCAAGGGCCAACTACTGCACTTGTGCTGGTAAAGTCTGACTCCCTGTTCCGTGCTGGGGTGGTCACTGTGGTTAGATTGGGCAGGAGCTCACTTTGGCTGGTGTAGTCTGGCCAGTTCAGTCCTTGTCCTCTGCTACAACACAGAGCATAAATCCACTGTCTCAGGCTCGTCCCCTTCTGGGCTTCTCGTAAACCCGTCTCCAAACCCCTCGGCTTCCACCAGCTGCGGTTTCTTGTTGCACATAGGACAGAGCTGGTTGCGGATGGCAGACGATCTCATCCACACGATGAGGTTCCAGCGCTCTCCAGAGGTGATGGGGAGTGCCCCGTGCATCTGCCCTCCCCGGTGAAGCAAGCCATGAGATACCACGTGCTCGATCTCAATGTACGTTGGCACTGGGCTTGGAGCCTGGGAAACAAAGGAGGCAGAAACCAGGTTACAAAAATACTCTCCTGCTCCTGACTCTCCCAGATGGTTAGAACATCCTTTCATGGCCCCCCCACCTTTCACCCCAAAGCATTTTTTAGGCTGTAGGCAGGGAACGCTTAACCACAATTGCAATGGAGCTGCCTCTGGACTGAGAGCTGCGAGCTGTTAAACCAGTGTGGGTCAACCTTTTTAAACTGGAGGCAGCTCTGGGAAAATGCCAGCTCTTAGTTTTTACCTTTTTACCTACAGAAAAGGAATAGAGCGGCTATCCTGCTGCAAAGAACTCGGAAAGACCACAGCTTTAGATTTCTGTTTGAAATCTCTGGTTTACCTTGTGAATAACAGTTGCAAACCTAACAGTGCTGCCACTGTGTGGTGCCCACAACACCCTTGAAGAGATCCCAAGGCACCACAGGGTGCCCCAGCACCCTGGTTGAGCATCACCATGTTAAACCATTTAGTGCGGTTGCTTGGGGGTGAGGTCAGGTAGTGAACAGTGGCTAGAGGGAACTCAGGCATGCAGAGTGTCACAGCACTATGGCCAGCACATGGGGGTCTTGGCTGAAAGACCTTCTAGTAGCCACAAGTGGCTCTGGCTTTAGTTTTGCATCTTGTCTGAAGGTAACTAATTCCTCCTTTCAGTCTTTTTGGAGAGTTTTCTCCACCTCCTCAAAATGAGTTGAAATGGGGATGGAGGAAGGGTTTTGCTCTCATTTCGGACATGACAGTTAGCTGGATCATCTCTGAGTGACAGTAGTTAGCTTAACTTGCTGTGATTAGTTTCCTGCTGTGAGGATTTCAGATGAGCGTCCTTCTGTACTGAGCGCAGAATGGAAAGGTTGTGACTGAGTCCAGTCGCAGGCAAACTGGTATCAGGCAACAAGCTCACTAAATGTTTGCCCCTCCAAAATCACAGCTCCCTACTCACTCTCTCTTCTGATTAGAAACCTAAAATCAGCCCAATGAAAATTCTCCGGTTTGATCTGTGAGCGCCAAACCTCTTAATAGCTCCCCTTTTAGCTCCCTTGTGCAGCAAGTTCCTGAAACAAAGCTAATGGCCAGATGCTGCTCTGCTGAGCAAGAAAGAGCTGCTCTGAAAGAGATGTTTGGTACCTGCTGGAAATCTCCAAAATACAAGTTGCCCTCAGTGAATTCCTTTCCCAGGGACACATTTAAAGTGACTTCGGCATTGTCATAGTGGCAGCTCAAGTCCAGATCTTGGTGTACTGCATACTTGACAACAAAGGCTTTGTGGCTGTCCAGGGAATCTCCTCCCAGGTCTGGGTACAGCAGCGCTGTGATAGGCTGCAGGTATTTCTCACGCAGAGGTGTAATGAAAGCTTCATCCAGGCCCAGCTCATTTAATAAGACCTGTACCAGAGAGAGAGAGCATATGGGAACAGGCAGACAGTGGTCTGGTTCCTTCTGCTAGTTCCTCAGCAGTGCTGTGGAGCCTCCCAGTGCTGAGTTTTCTTCCCTGCCAACCTCCCTGCTTATTAGGAAGAGCTACAGGCTGCTAGCTGCATTCAGGTTGGGAAGCAGATGCGGGGTAGGTTTGACACTGGCATGGGTAGGATGATATACAGCCAGCTTTTATTTGCATGTTGGCCTGTCCATATTGATTATTTAGCTCTTCCAGAGGCCCTCTTATGTGGTCAGGATTCCAGAAGGCTGCCAATCCAGCCCTTCAGCAGCACAAATTTAACATGTAAACTGCCAAGGCCCTGAAATACCAAGTCCTGTGTGTATGGAGCGCTTTTAGAATCTCAGGGAGCTCAAAGCAGGCATGCCAGGAAGGGTGCATCTAGCACGGGGTGTCATTTTGCTTTCCAAAAGCTCTGTGGAGAGTGGCAAGTGTGCCAGGGTATGGGAGCTTCCTGTGGCTGTGCAGAAAGGCAAGAGGATGTGGGATTTGGACCAGAAATGGCCCTGAGCAGATGGCTAAGAAAGATGAGCTCTACCATGAAGCAGTTACAGTGGAGCCGTACAGCAGTACTATCAAAGCCTGTCTCCTGAAGGACAGACTCTGCCTGGACTGTGTGTGTCCCGAGTTGGTTTGCAACCTGCATGGCTGGTAGGTATTTTGAGCCCGATGTTATGAGGTTCTGGCTGGACTTCTCTTTTTGCCAGAAGCATAGTGCGCTTGCAGCTACAAGACGGGCAGTAGCCTCTACACTCAGTAACAGGTCAGGTTCTAATGCAGTTTTACTAGCCAGGCTAAGCCAGTCTACACAGGCTGGAGGGGAATGGACTGGGAAGCTTCCAAGGAAACTGGGCTGATAAGGATCATTTCTAAGGGTCCTAAGAGTACATACCCCATAGTTATTCATCGTGTTTGGCCTGCCTTTGGGCATGTTGGACTGCTCAAAGTTCTCCAGCTCTTCAATGAAGACTCGGCAGAAGTCCTTGGAGAACACGGGAAGTCGATAGATCCTCTTATCTGGCCAAGAGAAAGCAGGAATCTCTCAGTAAGTACAATCGCAGCGCAGGATGGGTGGAAGAGATGCAGAACATTCTTGCTGTAAAACTCGCCTAGCTGGACACTACTACAGTCCTACAACAGCTTCCCCAGGCTGCTTTGGTTATTTAAATAGTTATCATTGCTGCAACAGTGGAGCATGTTTATAGCTACTACTGGACATTGGAGGGCTTTGCTTCCAGGTTTTCCAGTCTAGTGGCTACAAGGTTTTGAAAGAGGCGGTGGTGAGGAAGCATTAGCTGAGGTGGTCAATAAAAGCAACCTTCTACTTTGAGACTGACAGTGTGATGCTTAGTTTTCACTGTATATCCTGTCAACTTCTCCTTTACAGAAAGGTCCTTCTGAGCATCTGGAGAGAAGCAGAAAAACCTTGAGCTTGGTACCGAGCAATAAAGACATATCTGTTCATATGGGAACCATACTGGGTAAAGGGAGATGGTCTGAACTGGCAATTTTAGGGAAAAGGGGTTAAAAAATCCAGTCCCTCAAACAGATGCAAAGGCCACAGGGTGACGCTGCAGCAGAGCCAAAATGCATCATCTTAGCCCAGTGGTAGTCACCAGGGGGATGGCACTGATGTCTGGCTACTGCCTCCCTAGAGACCCTGAGGATAAAGAGAACAACATCCTAGTGGCCTCCGGCCAGCTCTCTGACTACAATAGCCAGGAAGTGGTTTGAAAGCAGTGCTCTTTCCTGCTGAGGCTCTGGCATGTGGACTGTCTGTGTCACTGATGAGTGACTTGGCTTTACCTGAGAAGGTCTCAAGGAGGCACAGGAGGCCTTGCAGATCTGCGGCCTGTGACGTGCAATACTTCACCGTTTCCAAGAACTCAGGGGCCAGGAACGAGTCCTCGTGTTCATGGGGAGAAGCCAAAAAACAAAATGAACATCCACAGCTTCCTTAATTTGTTCAGAGAAGGGGCCTTGGCCTAACCACATTACCAGCTGCAGGTGTCTAGGGCCCGAAGTTAGACATGCTCTCGAAAGGCTGAAAGCACAGAGAGCTATAACGTGCAGCTGTGTCCTTGGCACCTGCCCACTCATGACCTAGCAGATCAGTGCAAACTGCCATTTTGACTAGATTCAACATCTTGCCTTGGTTCAGGCTCTCAGCGTGACACAGTGACAGGGCTGAGCTTCAAATGTTTAGCAACTTGCTCCTAAATTAATCTTTCTACTGGCCCCTCTTCAGGTGCTGTGGTCAATCTGCCTGATAACACTGTTTCCAGTGGCCATGTGAGAACAGGGCCTGAGTGTGCTCTCAGCTTTGTCTGCGTTACCTCCAACTTGACTAAAGTTGCTTTAGAATCAACAAGGAGTAAGAGGGCAACTGTGGCCAGTCTCATCGGCTTTGGTAGAGATTTGCAAACATGCTCAGGGTGGGAAAGACAGTTTGTTTTCACATGAGTGTGTCCAGGGACATATAAAGGCACAGAAAAGGCTTTGCCCATCTGCAAGGTACATGCCTACGTAGCTAGTAGAGTGCAACTGCAGTATATATATTACCTGGAGGACATACACTTCTGGATGCTTTGCTTTGTACTGCTGTGAAATGATGGCTTTCCTTTCTATGGAGTCATGACCTAATTGCTTCCTTCGCTGCACTTCTTTCTCAATCTAGGAAGAGATGATAGACTGTCTTTGTAAGAAAGCAAATGCTGATTGTAATAAGAAAACTCGCTCACCAAGTCAAAGCAGCTGGCATCCAGGCATCATCTCTGGGTGTGCCCCTCTTTGAGTGAAGCATGTATTTCTGTGCCTTTTGTGAGTCACTAAAAGGGTGGATAATAGGCTGGAAAATTACAAAGGGCAAGGAGAGGTTTGAGTCAGCCTCTCATTAAGGTTCAAGGGCAAATTCTAAAGCAAATCTGTGGAAGAAAACAGGAACTGCAGATGTCCTGGCCCTTGGAAAAGGAGACTAAATTGCCTATGAAAGTAGTTGCCCTATGTGAGTTCTGACAAGTCTGGCCTAAGTCATAGAATCATAGAAAGTTAGCGGTGGAAGGGACCTCAGGAGGTCACGTCTAGTCCAGCCCGCTGCTCAAAGCAGAACCAGCCCCAACTAGATCATCCCAGACAAAACTGTGTCTAGTCGGGTTTTGAAAACCTCCGAGGATGGAGCTTCCACCATTTCTCTGGGTAGCCTGTTCCAGTGCTTTACTACCCTCCTAGTGAGAAAATTCTTCCTAATATCCAACCTAAACTTCCCTTGCTGCAACTGGAGACTGTTGCTCCGTGTCCTGTCACCTGCCACCACTAAGAACAGTTTAGATCCATCCTCTTTTGAACCCTGCTTCAGGTAGTTGCAGACTTCTATCAAGTCCCCTCTCAGTCTCCTCTTCTCCAAACTAAATAAGCCCAATTCTCTCAGTCTTTCCTCGTAAGTCATTGCCCCCCCTCACTTTTGTCACCCTCCACTGGACTCTCTCCAATTTGTCCATATTCTTTCTGCAGTGGGGGACTCAAAGCTGAACACAGGACTCCAGATGTCCTCACCAGTGCTGAATAGGGGGAATAATCACCTCCCTTGACCTGCTAGCAACACACCTACCAATGCAGCCCAGTACACTGTTAGCCTCTTGGCAACAAGGGCACATTGCTGGCTCATATTCAGCTTATTGTCCACTGTCTCCCCCAGGTCCTTTTCTGTAGAGCCACTGCATGGGATTCTCCTGTCTTAAGTGGAATGAGTTGTTATGCAGGGCTAAGTTTGGGACTCTGAAGCAAATGAAGGAAGCGGTGAATTATCTGGAGAGCACTTGCCCCTGTCTGACATCCTCCATTCTCAGAGGTCTAAACCCAGACCTGGGCAGGGTACCTTCCTTCTGGAGAATCTGTATCTCTGGGCCTACACCAACCCCAGATAAAGTCCTTTCTGGAGCGTGCTCTGTAGAGAGCTCTTGGTTTGCTAAAAATATTGTTTCTAGCAGCAGAAGCTGCCATTGCTGAAGCACACAGGTAACTTCAGTATAAATTTACCCCACGGTTTGCTTTTTTTTTGTGGTCTCCTTCACCAGACATCTTTGCTGGGGGACTCAGCTTTGCTTGGCTACCTTATGCTCAGAAAGAATTGTGCAGGTTAGGCTGACGTGTTGGTGCTTGAGGGTCCTTTCCCAGAAACAGTGCAATAAATATAAGTTTAGTTTGCAGACAGCAGTGCAGAAAGCATCATTGTAGAAATGGTTGCATTTCAATGGTAGTAATTGTCACCTGTGTTTGGCATGGGAAGAGTGTAGGACCCTTTGGAGTGAAATGCTGCAATTTAAGTGCGCTCCCCCCACCTTTTATAAATGTGTTGTATAAAAGGAGGACTAAAAATGTCAAAGAAGTTAGGGCAGTGTGATTAGAAACCAAGGAGGGGAGTGAGAAGCCCATTATAGTGGACTGAGAGTCAGGGTTAACTTCTTGGCTTTGTAAGCAAGCGTGTGCAAGAATATCCAGCGCTGTATTCAGCTTTTACCTTTGGTCTTAAGCTAGGACAGAATTTGCATCAGAAAGATGGGCTGGGTGTTAGGGGAGGGAAGTAACCAGCAACGTGCATCAAATCCATCTGTCATGTTGCTTCTCCCTGGTTCTCGGGAGATGACTCTGCCTTCAGGGTTCACGCGAGCTGTGTCCCCAGACGCTTTAGCGTTACCTACCTGTATATGAATAGACACGGAAAAGTTCCCTGGAAGCCAAGTGGATTTGTTTTGAAGGAAGCTGCCTGGATCGGGTCTCCCTCTGCTCGCACTTACCCAAACGTCCCCTTTCACGCGCGACCGGTAAAGCGTAAAGACTCAAGACCCCACGTCTAGGGAAGCCGCAGGCGTGACACCGTGCGGGTGACATGGCGTTTACCTCGCTCAGCACCGCTTTAAAATCTTCGTTGCTCCTGCAGCCGCGGCTCCTCAACGCCTGTAAGTCAGAGGAGAGGTTGGCAGTGGACGGTGACGGCCTGGATGTCTAGCGACCCTGCCGTTGTAGCTGTTTCCCCAGGGTTTAAAGAAGCCCGGCGGGTCCAGCTCGAGGAAGAATCCCGGGAAGCGAACCACGAAGGGCCGAGCGCCAGGGCCGCTATCAAACGCGCCTGCTTCTGCCACTGCCATCCCGGGGCGTCTCCCAAGCCGGGTCTCTTTGGGGCTGAAGTTGGCTCCTCGTCACCCGGGTAGAGGGGGCGAGTGGGGGTTGGGGGCCCCCCA